GAACCGCGCTCCAGGCCTTTGTGCAGGCTGCTCCTTCTGCCTAAAATTCTGGCCCCGCCAACTCACTTCAACTGTCACCCGCTCTTCATCCTTTCGGGCTCAGTTTAGACATTGTCTCCTCCAGGAAGCCCTCCCTGACGCTTCTTCTCGCTCTCAGACTGTAGGCTCTAGGAGGGCAGGGTCCATATGGGATTTATTACAGTGTTTTCAGAGGTGAATACTCAATAAATCTTATTAAACGCATGAAATAATCTCTATGGATTTCCCATTTGATATCTGTAGAATGAAAATAATGCGATTTGGCACAGAGGGTTCTGAAGAGGGCGATGGGAAATGATGTCTATGAATTTTCCAATACGGTGCCAGACATATAATAGGTGTTCCAGAAGCATAGTTCTAATTTTCCTGCCCTTTAATGTTTACGGGTAAACACATCTTTTCTGTTTAAAAAACTAAAATTTCGGAGTCCTTTTGACCTCAAAGCACAACTGGCTTCTTGCTGTCCAGGTTTCCACTCAAATGTCACCACCTCACACAGATATTTTTGGACCACCCCATATAAAACAGCGCCCCCACCCCACCCCATCACTCTCAACTCTAATACTTGCCACACCATGACCTGAGCTTTATGATTTTTTCACTTGTTGATCATCTGTCTTTCCTGCCTAGAATGTGAGCACCATGAAGGCAGGGAACTTGGCTGACTTTTTCATTGCTGCAGCCTCAGTGCCCAGAGACGTGCCTGGCAACACAGTGGCTGCCTAGGGGTTTCCAGGGCCAAGGCTGTGGAGTCTCTAGGCACTCCCTGGGGACAAATGCCAGAGAGAGAGAGAGAGAGAGAGAGAGAGAGAGACAGAGAGAGAGAGAGTGTGTGTTTGTGTGTGTGTCTCTGTTTGAGATGGAGGGATAGAAGTCGGTGAGATATCGCTTCCCTTCCCTCATGGTACATCTCAGGGAGGTGGGGACTTGGAGAAGACTCTCACAGCAGCTCCCCGCCATGTTCCCTAAGGGAAATCAGGAGCACTGGCCTCTCCAGGGCCATGCAGATGCAGGTTGCTTGGGGTGCAGGGGAAGGGGCAGCACATCCTTTGTGGTGACCCTGGGCATTTGAAGCTGAACATGAGCCCCTCTAAGCACCCCTGGCTCACAGCATCAAGGAGAGGCTGGGGCACATCTGTGGTTTCTCCCTTGAAGGGATCTGCCCTGCTGCCCCAAGCTCGGAGCCCAGGCCTAGGCCTGCCTTTTATTGGTGACTTGTTTTTTCCCTGGGCTGTACCTGCTCCTCTCTTCACTCTTGCCTTCCGGTCATCAGTGTCTGATGGGTCCTGTCCTACCTGCGTTCCCTGTTGGTACCAAATTCTCACACTTGTGGATGGAGTGGTGCAGCTCCCTGAGTCCCCTCTACCTATGCTGCCCGCCTTGGGCTTCCTGGGATCAGCCCCCAGCGCTCAGCCACTGCAGGGTGCTGCTGGCCCTCCTGCCCTACCACTCTGACCCTCCTCCGAGGCATGTGAGAGGGATTCCAGAGATGAGATCCCAGAGCCTGCCACCCAACCTGCTGCCTCCTCCCCACTGAGAAAGGACACTCTGTCTCCATTTGGCCCCTGCCACCCCTCTAAGGCGGCTCGGCATCAGACAAGCCTATCTGACCTCTGGCTTGGATGGGTGGGGAGGGCAAAGGGTAGTGAGGGTTTGCCCAGGCTGTGACTTTGGACCCAAGTGTGGAAGGGAACCCCTGCTGGCTGAAGCCCCAGCCCCAGGCCCAGGGGTCCGAAATCACGGCTTCCTCCTTACAGCTGTTGGCACCCCTGGTTCTAGAGCTCCCAGTCCGGTCAGGGTCCCAGAATGTTTGAGCAGGAAAGGATTTCAGAGTTCAGACGTTTGTGAAGTGGACTGTGCAGTGCCCGGGAGCTGATCTGTATGCACACGTATGTGTGCATTCGTGTGTCATGGACTAACCGCTGGGACATGAAGCCCACCCCTATTTTGACCAAAGAAACCCAAACTTTTTTCCTATGTTACCACAGAGAACAGAGGTGCCACATGAGTTACAATTTAAACAAGAGGATTCATTGTTTGAAAAAAAGATTTGAAAATCAGGAAAGCTAAACAAAAGTCATTTTACATATGGAGAAACTGAGGCCCATATGTGTAAATGGCTTCTCAAGGTCACAGTGGTGTCAGTGGCAGAGCTGGTACTGCACCAGGCTGCCCGGATCATAGACTGATGTTTTTGCCAAGAACGGCCGAAATGTTCCTCTCAGGAGGTGGCAGGTGGGGGCGGAGTGCCAGGAAGGCACCGTCCAAAGAAGTGGGTTAAGGTCACAGCCTCCTGACTCCCAAGGGCCCCCTGAGAACAGCTGCACTGGAAAGGTCACTCGAATATGAACTAGAGGCTTAGGGTTTTGGAGTGGAAAGGGGCAGGGTAAGGAAGAATAGAGTAGGAGGAGGGCGGGGGACAGGGATTCATCCTATGGGTTCCGCACACCCCCACTGGGATCAGCACCCCCACCCCAAGCACCTGATTTCAAAGTCTCCCCTCCACTGAAGGGAGGGGCAGAGGGAGCTCATGACTGGCATGGAGGGGGCTGGCTGGCCCTGAGGGAGTGACTGCTGGGATGGGGAGGCTGTGAAGCAGGGGCCTGAACTTTAGGGGTACCTGTGGACACTCCTGGCTGTCAGTGGCAGAAATGGCACAGTAGGGGGCTCTGTGGCACTCACTGTGTCTCCCCCAGTGCTCAGCTGGGTACCCAGGAAATGCTATTGAATAAATGGATTGTGTCCCTCCTCCCCCAGTACCCCCAGAATCACCAGCCTCCTCCCTCTCCCTCCCCCTGTCCTTCAGAGCCTACAAGGACTGAGTTATTCTTAGTAGGTTTCATTCATCAAAGCGTGACAAATGGTGTCCTGGGAGGAATGCCTGGGCGCCATGGGGAGCCAGAGGGTGGGGTGGGGTGCAAATGTCCCATTTGAGGGGAGAGGCCATTGCCTTCAGGGAGCTCCAGATGGAGGGGGAGACACAGCCCTGTCCTCATGAGAATCTCAGTAGATGCAGAAGACACAAAGAACCTAGTCCCAGGGGAGACATAGTCCCTGTCCTTTGGGGGAGGCCCCAGTCTGAAGCGGGGAGACAGCCCTGCCCTCAGGGAGCCCCAGTCTGAGGGGAGACACAACCCTGACTCAGGGAGCCCTAGTCTGAGGGGGGAACGCAACCCTGTCCTCAGGGAGCCCCAGACTGCGGGGAGACACAGCCCCGTCCTCAGGGATCCCCAGTCTGAGGGAGACACAGACCCATCCTCAGGGAGCCCCAATCTGAGGGAGACACAGCCATGACTCAGGGAGCCCCAGTCTGAGGGAGACACAGCCTTGTCTTCAGGGATCCCCAGACTGAGGGAGACACAGCCTTGCCCTCGGAGTGCTCCCTGTGATGGAAGATAATCCTCCCATATTCCCCCCTTCTCCAGCTCTTAGTGAAACCCCAGTCTGAAGGGAGAGATCCAATTTCCTGTTCTCAAGCAACCTCTAGTCTCATGGCAGAAAAATAGCTGCCATCCCTGCTGGAGAAGATAGGGTGCCACCCAAGTCACGTACTGAAACTCAAGATGACAAAAGGGAGTGCCGGAGGGGTATCCGGGAGCATGTGCAGCCACCACGGCCACTGCATGTAGGGAACCTGACCATGACAGAGAAGAGGGGGCTCCCAGACACACTTGACTGGGCACGCTTACTAAGAAACATGCAGACCACAAAGGGGCAGCAATCATGGGGACTAAGATCCTGGCCCTGAGGAAAAGAATGAAGGCACAGGCCAGCGGGCCGGTCTAAATCGGAGGTCCACCTTCACTGGGAGGGCAGCCGGAGAATCCACATTGTCTGCAGCCTCTCACATTCAACCTAAAACCTATGTACTCATTGCAAGCCAAACAAAATCTCACTGAAGATAAAACGTGGCCCAAGGCCATGACTTTGCAACCCCCTGGACCTCAGGAAAGAATTCCTGATAGAGAAGAGCTCTGAGCCTGGTTTGGGGAAGGAGCTGATCGCCAAGCTACCCCTTTAATTCTGGCCTTCAGGCCTGGCTTCTATCTTCAGGGCCTCTCTCACCCTACCGGACATGGGAGGCCAGAGCCACCTCACTCCTCACCAGCTTCCCTACGACCAGCAGGCTACAGCTGGCCAGCGGGCGGGGCCTCCGTGTCTGTGGTGGGGATGTCACCTTTCTTGGCAGGAAGGTAATTTCCCTGCCAGGGGAGAGAGCCCGTTGTGCTGCTCATAAAGCCACTGTTAAACGAGCGGGTCTGGGAGTTCTGGCTGGGCGGGCTTCCCTTCCCTTCTCTGTGCCCAAACGTGGGTACTGCTGCCCTGCGTGCCTTTGCCACCCCTCCCACTGAAGACTAACTTTCCAGTAGACCTCAGTGTTTCTGTCAACGAAATAGGTCCCTGGCCCCTCCCCACTCTCCCAGTCTCTTCCAGCAGAGACCTTCTAGGACTGTAGGTTTAGCGGAGGGGCCGGCTTCGGTCTCCCCAAGTTCTAACCCCCAGTGAGGCCTCACAGCTTTCTTGGGACTGAGGGGCAGTCCCGGAGGGCGGCAGGAGGCGGCAGCCAGTGGTCCTGGGGACCGCGAGGTGGGTCGGGGGTGGCAAAGGGAGGGTTCTGGGACCGGGGAGCGGCGGCCTAATTACGGCGCGTTGGCCCAGCGCCGCGGAGCGCCGCGGATGACAGAGGCGGTGGGTAATTAGAGCGCATTAGCCGTGCCCCTGCAATCCTGTAATTTTTCCTCGCGCTCGGGGTGTGTTGTAGGAGGCGAAGCGATGCCGGCTTGGCTGAGTCAGACTCTCGGAAGCCCAGGAGGGGACGCAAGGGGCGGCAGAGGCCGCGAAGAAGGGACTCCCGCCCGGGGAGGTGCAGACGCAGTCCTCTAGGAGTCACCTGTCCCGGGCTCTTCGGCGCGCGCGCCCCGTCGGCGGCGGGAAGGGGGCGTGACCTGCGTCTCCTCCCGCCGCCGCCGCGCGCTCTGCCAGCCCGCGAGTCCTCCGTATCCAGGCCAGCGTCTTCACCCAGCCACGTGCCCTGCCCCTGGTGCGCAGGTGGACTGGAAAAGAGGAAGGCAAACGCAGTGGCCAGGCGGAGACCTCCCAAATCCCACGTCTCCCCGAGAATCAGAGACGGGCTCAGACCTAGGGCAGCCATAAGAAAAAACGTCAACTACATCTCGAGGGAGTGAGGTGGAGTGGGGCCGCTTGCTCTAGTCGAGCCCTGACATCGATTCTGCGGGGGCGGGGGGGAGTCGGCGCGGGGCTGGGGCTGGGAGGGGAGTTTATTTATTAGCCAGATTAGCCAGCATTAATGGGGGAGCGGTGGCGGCCGGCGGCAGCAGGGACATAGCTGGCATAGCTGGCATAGCGGCGGGGCCTCCCGCGGCGCGGGGCTCCGCGGCTTCAAAGGGGCTTAAAGAGGCCCTTGGTGGCACTGCCACGGCCCCGCGGGGGAGGGCGTGGGCGCTGGCGGCGGGGGAGAAGGCGGCCATTGTGCACCGAGGGATTAGGGCTCTGGCCTGGAAGGAATTTTAAACTGCCGCGAGCCGGAGCCCCAGGACTCTCCTCCTGCCCCACCCCTGCCCTCCGGAGCACGCCGAGGTGTTTACCTGCTTTCCCACGTCTGGGGTGGAGGGGGTGTCCTCTCTCCTCCCTCAAACTAGAGGCACCTAGGGTTACCAGGTTTGGCAAATAAAAACGCAGGAGGTCCAGTTAAACTGAATACTTTAAATAGCGTAAGTCTGTCCCAAATATTGTATGGGACAGACTTATGCTAAACTATTATTCGTTGTTTATCTGATATTCAATTTAATTGGATGTCTTGTATTTTGTTTTTCCTGGCAGCCCTTGAGGCACTGAAATGTCTAATCCATGTCTGGAAACAGATTGATGGTTCCCGAAAATCCAGTGGGTCTCCCCCATTTGAGAGATCCCTAAAGGCAGGGGTCATGTCTCTCCCCTTACACTGGGAGTTTCCTGAAGCCAGATGCTGAATTTCACCCTAAAGAAGGCAGCTGAGAGCACTATATGTGGCCCCACCAGACTGGGAGCTTCCTGAGGACAGGGGCTAAATTTCACCCATGAGAGTAACACTTCAAGGTCAGTGTCTGTGACCTGTGACACTGGGGTTTCCTGAGGCATGGTCTGTGTGCTTCCTAGAGGGCAAGTCTGTGTCTCCTGCCTCACCCCTCACTCTCCCACCCCCACCCCCACCCCCACCCCAGGCTGCTGGAGGCTCCTCCTCCATTAGTGTTGCTTACTGCCCATAGGGGGTGCTAGGGGCCCAGCTGACTGGCCTACAGATGGATGGGACCTGTTTATTGGGACTCAGGGCTTCAGTCCTTTGGGGTTGATGCACTTGGAAATAATGGAGGTGGGGTCCCCATCCTGTGAGGCTTGCTCAGACAGTTGAGGGCCAGGTCTGCCAGGGCCAGAGGCAGTGGCCAGCATGTGGGAGAAGCTCTGGGTGCTGGGTACCCTCGGTTTCTTCCGGGAAGGACAGTGTGGCCCTTGGTGCAGAACATCCGCCCACCTCCTCTCATAACCATTGAAACCAAGTCCCAGTCCTCCATCAGCCTCTCCAGACCCCACTGCCTAACCTTTGCTTGTGCTGTTCTTTCTGCCAGAAACACTCTCTCTTCCTGCTTTGAGGACAGCTGAAGTCTCGCCACTTCTTCTGGATGCTCTGACCATCAGTGAGGTGGGCTGCTTGTGCCTGGGGGTCTTCTGGTGAAAAGAACCCTCGTCCACTCCCTCTTTCCTTAACAGCTTTGGCCACAGGGGCCAAAGAGGGGGCTAAGGTAGGGGAGGGGAGAGACAGGAACACTGGGGGAGCATAGACAGAAGGGGAGCAAGAATAGGAACCTCCTTCCCCCCAACCCATGCCCCTGAAGCCCCTTCCCAAGTCCCTTCATCCCCTCAGGGCCTCTGAACTCTTTCCCCTTGAAGCTGAGGGAAGCCCTGGAGAAGCGCTTTCCCACGGTCACAGCCTCAACAAACCCCTGCCCCCTTCTCCTTTGACTGCAGCCACCTCAGTCTCACCCGCCGCAGAATGCAGGCCCACTCCATCACTGAAGGGCCTCCTCCTTGGGCCAGGGCGCCTGCTTCTGCCAGTGGCATCATCACCCCACTCCTCAGCCGCCAGTCATCAGGTTGGCAATTAGCTACTTCCTCTCAGCTGCATGAGGCCACCAAACGTCACAGCCCCTCCCCTGGCCTGTCGCGGCGGGAGTGCTGGGTGCTGCCCCCTACCCTTTGTAGTCAGCGCCAAGTCCTGGCTCAGTCCCCCTTCCCTACAACCTACTGAGTGCTAAGGCAATGAGCCTCCCATCTGGAGAGCTGAAAGCCTCGCTGCTTTCTCCCCGCTTCAAACCTCCTCCCCCATGTCACCCTATCCCATTGGGTGAGGACACTCCTGCTGCCTGGGTGGGGTGATGCCTGCTCAAGGGCACTAGCAGCCTGGGTGGGGCTTGAGACTCAGGTGTCTCTGTTCCCAGTCAGAGGCGGTTTTCACCAGCCCCTTACCTGGGGCCCCGGAGTCTGAACTGAAGTTGGTGGCAGTTATTTGGGAAGGGGAGAGAAGTGGGGACTCATTCTACAGACCCCCAAACATGCAGGGGGCAGGCCCTTCATGAATACCCACATGGGCTCATTCGCCTGTGCCTAGGCACACACAGTCACAACCTAGGCAATGTATATTCCACCGCAGCGTGCCCGCATGTGCCCCAGGTGGGCAAGTAAGCCCACTTGTCCAGACACCCCTCATGCCCACACAGCCCTCCTCCAGCTGCGTGCATGCAAGCCCACTGGCATACAGTACTCAAAAAGGCAGTGAGCGTGCTGCCACTCAAAAAACAAAATTGGGACCCCACAGAGGAATCTAGAAGCATGGGAGGGGAGGAGAGACCACCCCAACACTTGCTACCCCACAGACCAGGGAATCTTCCTGGGGAAGGATGGGAGGAAGACTGCACTTCAAGGATATGTGTGGGGTGCGCAGGTGGGCCGTGGTGGGAGCAGTTGTGTTTGAGTCTGGGTGGGGGCAGAGGATCTGGATTTCCAGAGAGAACTGAAAAATTCCAACATGTATAAACAAAGGCATGGAATCTTAGGCAGATCGCTTAACTCCCTGGGGCCTCAGTGACTGCATCTGTAAAATGGGAATAATGAGAACACCATTTGAACTTGGTTGTCAAGTTTATTTTATTTTTATTTATTTATTTATTTTTAGAGACACGGTCTAATGTTGTCACCCTGGCTGGAGTGCAGTGGTGCAATCATGGCTCACTGCAGCCTCAACCTCCTGGGCTTAAGTGATCCTCTCACCTTAGCCTCATAAGTAGCTAGGACTACAGATGTGCCCCATCACGCCCAGCTAATTTTACAACTTTTGTAGAGATGGAGTCTTGCTGTGTTGCCCAGGCTGGTCTTGAATTCCTGGGCTCAAGCGATCTTCCTGTCTCAGCCTCCCAAAATACTGGGCTTATAGGCATGAGCCACCATACCTGGCCTGATTGTGAAATTTAAATGAGATAACCTGGCTCAGAGCAGGCCCTGAGCTGACATTACTATGGGGAGACCTTCCCAATATCCTCTCACTTGATGGTGGGCTTGCCTAAGAGAGCTGCCCTAGGGAGATAAGAAGCCCTCATTCTGGACCTTACCTGACTGACCATGTGCTCCCCCTGTTTTTCTTTGATTTCTGGGGTCCAGCCCCAGCCAAGGTGGAGGATACAGGTTGAGAGGCATGGCAGGGTATAGGGATGGGTGATTGGGTGCTCCTTTGGACTAGACTGGGGGTGGGGCTAGGGAAGGGCTGGCTACCTTCCCTGCCCCTACCTGGCTGGCACAATAGGTAAGTGAGTGCTGACTTTTATCCCTAGGAAAGGAGGAGTCAGGCAGTGTCTCTCTGTCCAGGCAAATGGGATGCAAGGGTCAGGAGCATGGGTGGAGGGGGCTTCTAGGAATAGTCCTGGAAGAAGACCTGGGAACAGGCACTACTGACAGGAGCTACTGCCTGGGTCTACCAACCTCTACCCCAACTCAACAAATATCCTTGTCCTTCTTTCTCAGAGTCTGTAACCACCAGCTGCTCTTCCAGATTCATGAGGCAAGGCCTGCCTGCTCACCTGGCTGGCCCCAAGCACCTCTTCAACCTGCTGCCACCGTCCTGCCTCGCTGCCCTTCTCAGCTCTTCCAGCAGGGTCTCCAAGTCATGGAAAAAGAAGCATGTATACACACGTGCTCATATACACATGCCCACAGCCGCATAAGCACACCCAGAAACACCATCGCAGACATGTTCTCACAAGCACATGCACGTAACACACTACCCCTCACTCGTATACACACGAATACACACACACTCATGCGCACTCCCAGTCTTACACACACACACACACACAGTTATAATCACTGCTGTTGGATGAATTGTGCCCCCCACCCCCGTGCTAAAAAGATATGTTAGAGTCCTAACCTTCAGTACCTGGGGATGTGACCGTAGTTGCAAATAGAGTGTTTGTAGATGTAATCAATTTAAGATGAGCTCTTACTGGATTAGAGTGGGTCCTAAATCCAGTGACTGGTGTCCTTATAAGGAGAAAAAGATTTGAAAACAGAGACATGGAGACACAGAGCGGAAGGCCATGTGATGATGGAGTCAGAGATTGGAGTGATGCAGCTGCAGGCCAAGAAATACCAAGGTGCTGGAAGCCCCCAGAAGCAAGGAGAGAGGCATGGAACAATCTCCATCAGAGCCTCCAGAAGAAACAGACTCTGCCAACACCTTGATTGCAGACTTTTGACCTCCTTCACTGTGCGAGAATACATTTCTATTGTTTTAAACTACTGAGTCACCAAGTCTGTGGTACTCTGTTATGGCAGCCCCGGCAACAAATCCAATCACACACACACACACACACACACATATGTGGGCTGGCTCCAGGCCTCAGTGATGAGCCTCAGAGGGTTCCCCTCAGGAGCTGCTCTTCTCTGTCATCCTTCCTTTGTGGTTGTCCAGTGGGATCCACAAAAGCTCATGGACCCAGAGCAGAAGTTTTCCTCTTCCCTGGAGTTCTTAACCATGTGTTGCCCTCAAAATCTGCTCTCAAGATTTGGGTTGTCATATTTAGGAGCACCAGAAAACGTACAGGAATACTGTGTCTGCTTGCATCATATTAGTTAAAAACTGGAGATAACCTAAATGTCCCAGAATAGGTACATAAACTATGGCATATCCGCTTAATGGAATACTACACAGCAATACAAAAGGAAAGCCTGGTGTTACTTGAGCAACATGGATGAACTTCACAGACATAATACTGCACAGCACGAGGCAGACGCAAAAGAGTGCATACACTGCGATTCCATTTACATGAGATTCACCAACAGGCAAAGCAGATCTGTGGGGGCAGAAGTCAGAATAGTGGTGACCTCTGGAAGGTGGAATTGACTGGGAGGGGCTACAGGGAGCCTCCTGGGGTGCTGAAAACATTCTGCGCTTGTACTGGGTGGTGGTTATGTGGGCATTATATAAAATTCACCAAGCTGCACCCTTACGACTTGTACAATTTGATGCACAAATCTGACATCTCAGTAAGAAGTAAATTTTACAAAGTACCAAAGAAGTGAATGACCAGAAGCCACCAGACTGTTTTCTGGGGGCATTTATAGCTACAGTCTGGACCCTCTAGGCCACAGAAAGTCTTGGTCCCTGGGACAGCCATGTGTGGTGTCATCGTTCAGTGCATGTGGGAGGGAATTCCACTCTTCAGTTGTGACGGGGCTGGAGACACACACACACACACACACACACACGCACACGTATACCTCTTGGCAGCTTCCCGTCCTCATTGGCAGTTGCAGGTTTGAGCAGGTATATCCCCCAGGTCCCCTGAAGCCAGTCTCTGAAGCTGTCGAGGGTCCCCCAGGTCGACAGACCAGTGGCCTGGGGCGGGTAGCTAGTGAGAGGGACCTTCCTCCCTCTTCGTCCATAGCTCTACAGGGAACTGGCCTGGGGGGGGTGGCTGCAGGGCTTGCCTTAACCCCTGCTGCACTGGTGTCCTCGGGCCTGGGGCCTCTCGTATGACTGACTTTCCATAATATTTGTTGACTCTAAATGTCCAGCCTGGGGCTGCCTGGGAAGGCCAGGATGTCAAGACAGCCAGACCATTAAGACATTAGTCTTTGGGAGAGGAATGGGAGGTGCACGAGATCCCACTGCAATTGGCTTCTCCAAAGAAAGCCTAAATGCGGTGATTTCTTCCACAAGAAAACTCCAAATGAAAAAGAACAGCTACATTTACTCAGGTTTTGTGATCTGACTGGCATGAACCAAACATCTTTGAGGTGTGTGGCAGTGTTGCCATTACACAGACAAGAAAACAGAGGCTCTGAGATATTGAGTAAAACCCCCAGAGTCACACAAGAAACTCAAGAGAGGACAAGTGGCATGATCATTCCTTCCAACTGGGGCTCCCTGAGGACGGGGCTGCGTCTCCCCTCAGACTGGGGCTCCCTGAGTCAGGGCTGTGTCTCCCCTCAGTCTGAGCCCTATCTAGGAGGGGCTTAGAGGAGGAGCTGGCCTTGAACCTGCCGCCTTTTGCATCCACACTGGTCTCCTGGAGGGTCTGGAAGGGGCTGCTGACTTGGCCACCCCTGCTCTTTCTCACCCTGGCTGTCGCCCCTGGTTCTAGCCCAGGGCTCTGCCTACAGGAATGCCATAGTGTGGGGCCATGATTCTGAGGGTCAAGAGGGAAGTGGGGGAGGGTATGCAACAAAGGAAGCTGTCCCTTGGTGGCTGTGCTGAGGTCAGTGGGAGGTCCCCACATCTTCCCTCCCTTCCTGACCGGGTCCACTGGGGGTCAGGACCACCCAGCCGATCCATGCCAGAGCCACACTGAGCAGAGGGCTGGCTGGACCCTGCCCTTCCCAGGAGGAGCAGCTGGGAGAAGGGCTCCATTTGTGGAGGGGGCAGGGTGGAGGGCAGCATCCTGCAATATCCAGGAGTAGGTGCTCCTTACTCTGCCCATGCCTCGCCAGCAAGAGCTGATCATGTGATGGGGGCCAGGTGGCAGGTGTAATAGGAGACGACATCCTCCTCGGCCTGCCCGGTGCCTATATTAAGTTCCGTGCCCTGGCATTCCCCTGCCCCTGCCCCCAGGACTTTCCCTCCTCCCTCAACGGATACGACACTGCAGATAAAGGAGCCATCCCTCCTTCCCAGCCCCACTGTCTGAGGAAAGGGGCAGGGGCCTAATGAGGTCAGAGCCCATGGGTGGGGGAGCAGATGCAGTAAATTTAGGCTTTGGGTGCTAATGAGCTGCAGAGGTAAGTGCCTGGGAGGGCCTTGGCAACCCTCAGACTCAGTCCTCCTCCCACAACCACCCACACATCACCTAGGTGCTCACAAGGGCACACGAAGAATGTACTCACCAGCAGCTGAGACACAGGTTTACACTCTTTTAATTTTTATTTTTTAGAGACAGGGTCTCACTCTGTCACCCAGGCTGGAGTGCAGTGGCACAGTCTTAGCTCACTTGTAGGCTTGACCTTCCCGACTCAAGCAATCCTCTGGCCTCAGCCTCCTGAGTGGCTGAGAACACAGTCATGTGTCATCATGCCTGGCTTATTTAACAAATTTTTTTTTTTTTTTTTTTGTAGAGAAAGGGGTCTTACTATGTTGCCCAGGCTGGTCTTGAACTCCTGAACTCAAGAGGTCATCCTGCCTTGCCCACCCAAATTGCTGGGATTACAGGTGTGAGCCACTGCACCTGGCGTAGGTTTACATTCTTACAGCCAATCCATATATACCCATACACCCAGGAGCCCCCAGGAGTCCATTATTACCATGATAACCTTATTCAGGAACTCATGTGTACACACCTCGCTATGCGTGCAGACATTCATGCATGCTTGCACACTCATGTGCTCACATGCATGCCACCCACTCCTGTTGGCATTTCTCCTAAGCCCCCGAGTCTATGGCAGAAGCATGTAGTCTGGGAGCTACAGGGCATTTGCACTGCATTAAAGGGCTCAGTCCCTGTCCCCCTCAATGGAACTCACCACCCCAGGAGCCCCAGGAAGCCCTGCCTTTTCTCCAGGGTGAGGGCAAGGGGCAGAGACAGGGTTTATTAATAAACCTGTTCCTGACTGGAAAGGCCTATGTAGAAGCCCCAATCTCAAGCCAATCAGAGCAGAGCTTTCCAGGAATGTCACCCCGAGCAAGCCTTCCTCTGACTCCAGGATTATTTCTCACCCCTGACTTCATCCCCTTGGTGTGTGTGGCTCCTGCCAGGCTCCACTGGCTCTGCCCGGCAGGCCTGCTGTCACCTGGCAGCTGACATCTACCCTGGCCACTGCCCAGAGAAGGTCACACAGCACATGGGTGGTGGGGCCAGGATTAGAACTGCATTTGCTGTCACTCAGTCTTGCTCCACACCACTCCTCCAAACAGAGCACAGCTGAGCCTGCTGTGTTGGGAGTGCAGCATGCCCTCTGCCTTAATACCCACCCATGGCATCATGACACTGCCCTCCCTCCGAGTGGGGAGGAAGCTGAGAGCCACTGGCCCTGAAGGCAGAGAGTCTGAGCCAATCGGGTTTCTGGTACTTACTGGCCTTATGACCTTGCACAGACAGGATTTGACTTGCTTGTGGTTCAGTGTCATCCTTTATAAAATGAGGATACCACATGAAGGTAGCTGTGAGGATTAAGAATGTGTGAGGTTGGTGTCTGCTGTTAAGGATTGTATAGGATGGTAAAGTAAAAGGTGTCTATGTTCTTGCCTTTATTGCTAATTCCATTCTCACCTTCATCACCAACACCACCTAACACCTCCACTGTCACACCATCATCGCTACTTCCTCCAGCACTGACATAGCTACCATTGCCACCAGCACCACCAGACCACTCCCTCCCCTGTTGCTGCTTCCATCACAACCACCATGGTGCTATCACCCATCATCCAGTAACACTTATTCAACACCTACTATGTTCAGGTCATGTGGGTGACTCTTTGCGGGTAGTCCTGCTCCAGGGCCCCACACTGTTGGCCATGGTCTGTATCTCTCACATCCTTTGAGTCCTGCCACACATCCCATCTCCACCAGGAACCCTTCCCTAATCCACCCTGCACTACTCCAGTTACTCCCAGACACCGTGGCTCAGCTTCACCTGTACCCTCACTGGTTGCTGTGTGTGTGTGCCTCTGTGCACACCCATGCTACTTAAACTACTCTTCGAAGTCAGTCATCACCCAGATCTCCTACACACAGCACAGTGGCTCTGGGTTCCAATCCTGGCTCTGACATCTGACCTTGGACAAGTCACCATACCTCTTTGTGCCTCAGTCTTCTCAGCTGTAAACTGGACTGAATAAATACCATGTCTTACAGAATTGTAGTGAGGATTCTCTGAGATACTGTATTTACTATATAGCACTTAGACCAGAAGCATGCATACAGCAAGTGCTCAATAAACATTAGCTTCTGTTATTTTAATTATTATTATTATTAGTCCTTCCCACCATCCCCCACCCCCAACCAATGTCTGGCACAGGAGTTCACACTACCAATGAGAAAGAATTCACAGGAATGAATGCACTCTGACATTCCAATAGAAATACCTTAGGAAAGAGTGGAGCTTTCGGAAAACCGTCTTGTCCCCTTGTCTGCTCATCTGAGCTCTCTGGGTAAGAGATGGTCTGTGGGTGGGAAGGACCATGCAGGGAAGTCAGAGCCAGACAGAGCTGAGTTTGAATGGCGACTTCACCAGCTGAGTAACCGTGGGCAAGTCATTGAACCACTTTGAGCCTCAGTTTCTCATCTGTAAAGTGGATCTCTGTGC